GCAAACCTCGGAACTGTCTTCCTAGACGACCAATCAAGCCAAGCTTTCTAATAAAGTTTGTTAGCCTTCGAACACCGAGTCACGGGTCCAGTCTGATTAGATCAATCAGATAATCCCAATCTCCGAAATAAATTTGTTCTTGCTGCCGAGGTCGTCGTATAATTCCGGAGACTAATAAAATTAAGGAGACAGTTTACGGAGTATGTCGGACAATAAAGACCAGCGACATCAGGCCACTCCCATGTCCATGTGGGAGCATGAAACCCCATCAGTGGCGGGCTTCAACCGCAGCAGCCCCGGCGGGGAAGCAAATTTTTGTAGCGCTAAAAGCGCAACACACGCTTGCCTCCCTAGCACAGTCCAGGCCCTGTTCGGTAATTGAGCACACTCTCAACCGCGCGATGTTGATCTTTTCGCCAGACAACCCATTTCAAAGCCCTTCGGCCGCGATCACCCTTTAGCCCACTAGAAAATAAAAGTTAGCACACGGCACGTTGCCGTGTCGATAATTGCCCGGGTAAAGCTTTCCGGCCAAGGTTTGATCAGATAGGACCCCGGTGAATGTGGATGGCGCTAGTATTTTTCAATACAAGCCCGCACGCACAGACCCTTGTCCGTTGTTCCCCAACTTACTACCTGGACGTTAACTTGACTTTTTTCTTCTGCTTCGAGATTGAGCTCATCTTTCTAGCTGGGAGTATATCTGCTGGTCATCAAAATGGGTAATAACCCTGTCTTTGCTGTGACAGGTAAGCCACTGTGTTCCTCGCATGGGAATTATGTACTGAGACAAAGGCGGCAACAGTGTTCTTCATCTGCTTCCGAGAATGCCTCGAGACAACAGTGGTTGTATCTGTCTTGCTTGCATTCCTGAAGCAGACATTGGGCGCAGAGGAAGATCGTGCGACCTATAAAAGGCTGGTGAAACAAGTATGCATGTCCCTTGGTTCTATCGCGAATTTGGTCATTTATTCGTTCAATAGGTCTGGTTAGGATGCGGCCTAGGATTGTTCATTTGCCTTGCAGTTGGCTGCGGCATGATCGGTGCTTTCTACGGCCTTGGAACCGACACTTTCTCCAGCACTGAGGATATTTGGGAAGGTGTTCTGGGAATCATTGCTTCTCTAATCATCACCATCATGGGCGCAGCTCTGCTTCGTGTCTCTAAGCTGCAGGACAAGTGGCGCATGAAGCTAGCCAAAGCTTTGGCGCATGAAAACAACCCCAATGAGTCGCGCAAGGGCCGCGTCAAGAGATGGCTAGAGAAATATGCCATGTTCATCTTGCCCTTTATTACCGTGCTGCGCGAGGGTCTGGAAGCTGTCGTCTACGTTGGTGGTGTTGGACTGGGACTGCCTGCTACTTCATTCCCGTTGGCGGTGTTTTGCGGTCTTGCCGCAGGATTCTTGGTTGGATATGTGATCTACAAGTAAGCGCTCTTTCTTGCCTTGCTCGTTACAATCTGAGCTATGGCACTAACTTTTTAAAGGGGTGGTCGTGAGACTTCGATGCAGATTTTCTTGGTCATTTCTACCTGCTTCCTCTACCTTGTTGCCGGTGGTTTGTTCTCGCGTGGTGTCTGGTACTTCGAGAACAACACCTGGAACAAGATTGTTGGAGGCGACGCTTCTGAGACTGGATCTGGTGCAGGATCATACGACATCCGACAAAGCGTGTGGCACGTTAATTGCTGCAACCCCCTAATTGGTGGTGGTGGAGGCTGGGGTATCTTCAACGCCTTGTTCGGGTGGACCAATTCAGCGACCTATGGCTCGGTGATCTCGTACAATCTGTACTGGGTTTGTGTCATGGTCGGCTATGGCTTGATGTTCTATCGTGAGCGTCGGGGTGCTATCCCAGTTTTGGACCCAGCGATGAAAAAGGTTGCAGGGTACAAGGCAAGAGCCAGGGCATTTATCCTTCGCCGACCTCTCGAAGAGCCAGCTCCTGTCGAGGCGAGCGGTGTTATTGAGCACACTATTACGGAAAAGAAGGGCTCTGGGGCTGGAATTTCTACCTTTGTCAAGCCTGCTGATGCATGATCGCATTCATGGTGGCTGGTATGGGACTAAAAGTGATTGCTCGAGAATAGAAGTTGTAGCAGCATAGCTGCGATCAGATAAAGAAATGTGAATATTAAATTAGGAAATAATCATCGACTGACAAATGAACCATACGCAATATTTTGCAAAATTCGGTATTTTACAAGGGTCGGGCAGGCGCGGAATACGAACCGTACTAACGCATGCTTTTACGGGCCTAGTGTTGTCTTAACAAAGCTTAGCGCCATTCTGACCCGTGGGTTCTCCTTTTCCATCCATGGCTAGCCAAAAGCCATGTTAATTTGGCAAATCAACGGCTTACATGGGATCAGATTATCTTTTCCCAATCTGATTGTCTTTTCCCTTTGTGCGATCACCATTCGGCTAAATATTCCTGCCGTACGAGTTGCTGTTCTTAACCCTTTATGGCCAAAAAGAATCCTCGCATGAAGGCCAGGAGGCATATCCCTTCCAAGTCCTTAATGTATCTGTTGATTGCTGTGCCGATCTGGCCCCTACAGGCAGCTGCACTTCTCTATACGCCATGTATTTAACACGAACATGGGTCTGTCCTTGGGTCCACTCTCGACTCAGTTATCGCTCCAACTGACCCGACTTGACAGCCACGAGCTAAGTTTCTTGCATTTTTGCTTGTTTTGCCCCACCTTGTTACATGGTCAGATCGATAATCGTATCACGGTGTGTAAACCCGGTACGAGCATCTCCATGGTCAGTGAGTCGGTTTTTTTCAAACTTATCAATCTTCTGTAGTCCAAGCGCCACATCCAAACACATGGTTGGGTCTTTTTCTCCTTCACTCTGTTCTCCTCGCATCCGTCAGTCACCCCAACGGCGAATTCTTTAAAATGAGGAGTCTGACGCCGTGTCTGTTCTTGCGACTCGCATTCCTTTACTTCTTTGTTCATTCTTGTCAAGCCAAAACTGTCACTCTTGATTTCAATGTTACATGGGTGAACGCCAACCCCGATGGCCTTGCAGAGAGAAAGGTAGTCGGTATCAACGGGCAGTGGCCACTGCCTGTGATTGAAGTGGACAAGGGAGATCAACTTATTGTCAACACCTATAATGGTCTCGGTGACAAGGCCACTTCGATCCATTGGCATGGTATGTTCCAAAATGGAACAAACAACATGGATGGAGCATCGATGGTGACTCAATGTCCTATTCCTCCCGGTTCTTCATACACCTACAATTTTACTGTCAACCAAAATGGAACATACTGGTATCATTGCCACACCGATGCTTGTTATCCGGATGGATACCGTCAGGCATTGATCGTGCACGACAACAGCTCATACTTCAACGACATGTATGATGAAGAGTTCACGATTACTTTGAGTGACTGGTATCATGAGCTTGTCGAGGACATTATGCCGTCGTTCATTAATGTGGCGAACCCCACTGGTGCCGAGCCAATTCCTCAGGCTTTTCTCTTTAATGATACTATGAACAGTAGTATTTCCGTTGATCCTGGCAAGACCTATCTATTCCGTTTGGTCAATATCGGAGCTTTTGTTGCGCAATATTTCTATATCGAAGACCATACCTTCCGCATCGTTGAGATTGACGGAGTGTACACTGAGCCTACCGAGGCCGATATGCTCTACATCGCAGTTGCGCAGCGATACTCCATCCTTGTGACCACAAAGAACTCGACGGAGAAAAATTATCCAATCGTGACGGTTGTCGACTCAGTCCTATTGGACACCATCACACCAGACCTCAAACTGAACCAGACAAACTGGCTCGAATACAACTCCGCCGCCTCCCATCCTCAAGCCGTCATGACTGTGGACGTTGCCTCAGATCTCAAGCCATACGACGATTTCACCCTAGTTCCCTACGACAAGAAGCCTCTTTTACCAGAGGCCGACCTGACCATTGACCTCACAGTTACTATGGCAAACCTCGGTAATGGAGCAGGCTACGCCTTCTTCAACAACATCTCCTACACAAAGCCGAAGGTACCCACCATCTACACCGTCCTCTCATCCGGAAATCTTTCCACAAACGCCGAAGTTTATGGAGAATACACACACCCAATGGTACTGGGTCACAATCAAGTTGTAGACATTGTACTCAACAACGGCGACAGCGGGTCCCATCCATTCCATCTCCACGGTCACCAGTTCCAAGTCATAGAGCGCTTCCCTTCATACGGAGAGCACTTCTACGACTACGCCGATGGTGACCCAGTTACCTACGACCCATCCAACCACGCCGCATTCCCAGACTACCCAGCGAGACGAGACACCCTCGTTCTGCCTCCGCAGGGCTACTTTGTCGTCCGCTTCGTGGCTGATAACCCCGGTGTCTGGTTCTTCCACTGTCACATTGACTGGCACTTGTCGCAGGGTCTGGGCATGACTCTGATTGAAGCACCTGAGCAAATCCAGGAACGCATGTCTATTCCAGAGGACCAGTATAAGGTCTGCGATGCGGCTGGTGTGAAATATGAAGGAAATGCCGCTGGCAACACGGAGGATTATCTTGATCTTACCGGTCAGAATAAGCAGGTTCCTTGGCTGCCTGCTGGCTTTACTGCTAAGGGTATTGTCGCCATGGTGTTTTCTTGTGTTTCAGCTTTCTTGGGTATGGCTTTCATCTCAGTTTATGGAATGTCGGGTGTTCAGCAGAGCAAGAAACAAAAGGAGGCTCAGGAAGCGGTGGTTAGCTCAGAGACATCTTGATTGTTCTGATATAGTTTTTTTTTTATCCTTTCTGTTATATACACACTTTGAACATACATAGCTCTTCTTCATGACTGTATCGCATAATATTTTATTCGTTGGCCTAATTCTGTTGTTTGCATAAGACATTTCGGTGAGAAAGATAGCGCAGCGACATGTTTCTTTCCATAAGAATAACATGGTTTAATCATTAAACACAGTCTTTACATGAGGAAAAATTTTTGGCATATCTCGAACAAGAGTTATCTCATTGTCGATATCTTGGGGTCCACTGGCTCCATAGCTCATTCCCACGCATAAAATATTCCAATCCTTTAATGTACATATCCATCTCTGGTGACAAGTCATTGACGCCATCGTTTCGCAGCTTATCTCGGGTCTCCTTGATGGCGAGCTCCAGTTCTCGGCAATAGCTGTACATCAATCGCTTGCAAGCTGCAAAAGGCAACTCTGTTTCGTTGGCAAGGATATAGATGGCAGACAGTGGCCGAGAACCATCAGTTTGATTCTCTTGGAACACTCTCCATTCTCGCTCCCAGCTATAGATATCATTGACCACGCCCATGTGACGAAATGCAGCACTTTCCAGTGCGGATACATTTTCCAGCTCAGCATGGCTGAGGCGCAACTTAGCACCAAACCTAATGAGAGCTGAGTAGAATCTGTTCACTCACTTTTAGCTCTGGGAAAATATATGAGCTTTCAAAGTCATAACGAGGTGATACGTACGGTCTCCCTGCATCTACCTCTCTAAAACTGAGATACGACCCAAGAGTTTGTATCGAAATACGCTCCTGTGATGTCTGAGCCTGGAGAAGTTGACAAAAGCCTTGGGCAACATCATTTGCCTGAACCTCGTCGATATTTCGCATGTCCTGGAACGTATCGTGGAGCATCCACTCCAGGCATAAGTCCCTGTCTGGACTCGCCATTCCTAGTGCAATATTCATTACCCGCTCCCGGTAGGAGAGCATTTGTGCAAAGTCCATCTTCTCAAGTTGGTCTAACTGCCCAGTCAATAAATGTCCATTTTCAAATATGCGTCACAAGTACCAACCGTCAATTAGTAGAGCCAAATAATGCATCTTGCATGTTGTTTCAATATGGCCATCAAGAGTCAAAGGGAAAAAGTGACTGAAGGCTCGAGAGAACCCAATGGCAAGAAACCCCCTTTTCTCCTTCTTGCTGGCAAAATTCCAATTTTTGCCAAAATAAGGCTCAACCTGTGCTTGGATCTTCTCCCATCCTTGTGGATGTGTTTTAGATTCGAGTTGGCAAGCTGGGATCTCGCAGGGGGTGTTTAATATCGTTGAATACTTTCTTGTTGGTTTGCTGGCCGGGTATGTATGACGTAGAACAATTGTGCGATTGATGGTCAAACCTGGCACGTCAAATTTGGGACCACTTGCTGCTCGCTTCCATATCTGAGTTCTTTGGAATTGATGCATCCTGAATTTTCATGTCCGTATGTCAAAGTGTGGGTTGAAGTCGCGGGTCCTCCACCAACAGAACACCTGGCACGTGACCAGACATCAAATTGGTCAAATAATGGTTGGTGGCAGCAACCTTGGAAATAGATCGAGGAATGCTGTAGATGAAGTAGAGCAAGACTAGCCTTCCGTAGCCGGAGAAACCACGGGTGATAACGGGATGCCATTACTGGAGAGTGGCCTACAAGTGCGATATTCATGCAGGGGAAAATGACCGAAGCGACGGGATGATGATTTTGTATACGAATGAGGAAACCTATAGAGCCGAATTCAAGCCCCTAGAATGACTTCATGCCTTCTGTCTCTGATTTACGATCCACGATATCATTTCGAAGAGATAACGAACCAGCATAGCAGAAGTCTGAATACAACTTGTGGCGGTGAAAATTACCAAACCCCGAGCATAACTTATGCAAGACGCTATTCCTACGATGTTTGCTTATTTCTCGTCCATGGACAGCCCATGCGTAGCCCATAATGGACACCATCTCCCGTGGACAGCCCATGGGCGGCGCCGAGGTCTAATTACTCGATCCAACTTATTTGACTAGTTTTGGAGCCTGCCTGGTTGAGATTTTCTACTTGACAATCACATGCAATCCTAAGCAATAAAATCCCGAGGTTGATGGAAGAGTGGATGTTTAGTGCCGTCGACATTTAAAAAGCCCAATCTCATTGCGATAGTATCATGTCAACTTTTACACCAGTCCCTGACGGTAAATTCATCTGTTTTTCCCTTAGTCCTCTTTTGAGGCTATCGTGTTTCTATCACTGACTGATGAGGAATTTGCTATACTTTTTGGTATAGTCTACAGTTCATGCAAAAGCTTCATTCTTTGGTATCTCTCAAAGAACCTTCGACAAAGATGTCCCGGGATGGTTTCCCTTCAATGATATTCTTCGATGTCTTAGGGACAGTTGTGGAATGGAGATATTGCATCGCAAACGAACTGAATGCCGCAGCACAAAGGGCCTTACAAGATCAAGTTCGATATCTGAGTGCCGATGTGCGAGCACGTGTCTCTGATATGTCCACTTCGAGCTGGCAGGAGATCGCTGAGGAGTGGCATCGCTCATATATGAACTTCGGAGACACTTACGATACATCTAAGCCCTTTGTCTCGGTAGATGAGTACAACCGCATTTCTTTAGAAAATATTCTCACCAAACGGCTTCTCCGGGGTTTATTTAACGAGGACGATCTCAAAAATTTGGCACTCGCTTGGCATCGACTTGAGTCATACTCTGACAGTGTGCCAGGCCTTTCGTTGCTGAGCACTAAATTTTTGACGTCTACATTATCCAATGGTAATGTAAAACTCCTCGAAGACCTACAAGAACACAATTCATTGCCTTTTAAGCACATCACTAGTGCAGAGCATTTCGGTGCTTACAAGCCGTCGCCAGAGGTCTATCATGGTGCCGCCCGCAGATTCGGTTTCAGGAATTCGCAATGTTGTCTCGTCGCAGCCCACCTTGAGGACTTGCATGCCGCCAAAAAATGTGGGTTTCAGACAATCTATCTCGAGAGACACTTGGAAGAAGCTTGGGATAGTAGCGACATTGCGCGAGCCAGAGAAGAGGGGTTTGTCGATTTTTGGGTCGGTGTTGGGGGCTCAGGTCTGGTTGAAGTTGCTCGGTACTTTGGAATAGAAAGTGGATTTTGAATGAATTATCACCCAGTCGGAGCCTTAATCTATAGATCCAAACCCTTCATCTGCTCTTGTGCGGATGGACGCTCATTTTGTCACAACGATAGTCTCTCTTTACTTTCTGCATATTTGGATAATAATATAAGAACCATGGCTAGATTGCGATTCCAATAGTCTCCCGTCATGATGCGACGTGAGTAAGATGTATAAATACCCGGGAGAAAGAGCTGGAGGTACTAGTGAAGTGCGGCACTCCCTAGGCCAGTCTTTTCGGCCAGAACATCCCCTCCGCTACAGCTTCGACCGTATTGAAGATGAACGAATTACCGGTCACCTTGAGCGTCTTGGCGGCCTGGGGCGGCTGATCGCCCAAGTCGATCATCGCCCGGCCCATCATATCCCTAAACCCCGGTTTGACGTACGCCACGTCCGAGGCCCTGCTGCAAATCTCAACCAGTTGCCCATTGTCGCACGGTCGGGCGCTCCGAAAACTGTGTTCATGTTTAGAAAGTCGATATAAGGACACCAACAAAGGACCTGTTTCAATTTCCTTTACCAAGGCAGGCGATGAATCGTGCGTTGGCGGACAGGGCTTGGTTCGACAAGGCTTTCGTCTTCAGGGGATGAATGGTCGAGCATTCCACAAAATGTTTCCCGGTGGGTTGAGTCGACAATGCTTTACCAAAACCTGCTGGACAGAATCGTCGTCGCTCAGGCAAGTAATTATTACATCGGAGACTGTCGCGGCTTTCTGAATGGAGTCGATGATCCGAATACTGTAGGAGGTAGCTCGGCTTGAAGAGCATCAGCTCGGGAGCGCGTGCGATTGTAGACAATCAACGGGATGTAGAGGCTGCTGGTGTGCCCAGAGATGGTTGAGGACCATGTTTCGGCACATAAAGCGTCTTATGGATATTTCCGACTTTCTCCTTGACGAATATTATAAAAATAGATATGGATTATTTTGGAAGACTAACATCCAACGTGGTTTGCACTGCCCTGCCACTTAGCTGGCCGTGAATAACCAAATCACGCACGGACCACTTGATCTGATGTCACCACGACCAACCGTGGTCGACCCATCTTCTTTTATGCTTATTTCAATTTCTACGTCGCTTGTTTGATGCGCATCCGAACTGCCCCTTCCGTTACCTTACCTGCCGGATTCCGGACTCTTAGACAAGCAGCAGCTTTCATACCCCGCTAATCCTATATACCACGTTCGCGAATAGGCATCGTCTTTGCGACAATTTATGGTGCTAGCATCCGTTTCTTCCGGTCATCAACCCTCTCTCAAAGTAGCCCTTCAGCGTCTTTGTTTAATCAAGGCAACCAGTGGAGGTACTTTGGGCCGTTCTTTCAGTTCCACATCCTCTTTTCCAACTGGAGTCTCCGCAATGAACACATCGCCGGCGACCTCTCAACGTGCTCCATGGCGTGATATACTTGACTCACATCTCCAACAAACACAAGGATATGAGTTCACAATTGCAACTATCGGCTATGATGCTCGTAACCGTCCCGTGCCTCGTCTGCGCACCTGTGGTTGCCGCGGCTTCTTCCCTGAACTTGAGCTTCACCCTAAAGGCCAGGAAGCCATGGACGAGCAAGTTGAAGGTGGTGGCAACCCGCCAGTGTTTGAAAGTGACATGCTATGCTTCACCACCGATGCTCGAATGGAAAAGATTCCTCAGCTGGAGTCTTCGGGAAATGCTATTGAGGCGGTCTTCTGGTTAAAGGATCTGATGACCCAATGGCGCATTAAGGGAACTGCATATGCAATTGGAGATCCCACTATCAATGTTACAGAGAATGAGAAGGCATCCCGAGAGAAGATCATGAAGGGCTTGCGGGTGAAAGGTCATAATGATGGTGATATTACGAATTGGACGTGGGACAAAGCTGTCACCAAGTACTTTGCAAATCATTCACCAGTTGCGAGAGGTAATGTGCTTTCTCTCCAGCTATAATTCTGTTTTGTATTTTGGTTCATAGAAAACTTATACTGACTGGCAAATGTAGGTTCTTTCCGAAACCCCCAGCCCGGGATGCCTAGGTCCCAGAGTCCCGGCAATCCAGCTCTGAGCCTTGGCCAGAAAGTCACAGATCTTCATGACCACGTTTCCCGGAATAACTTCAGGGTTGTGGTGATTTACCCAGAGGAGGTTGAGCGCTTGGATCTGACAAATCAAGAGGATGGGAGGAGATGGAAATGGATACTGGGAGAGGGAGGTGCAAATGGCTCGCTTGATGTTCAATGGAACGAGACTGAGGTTTGGCCATGATCGTTTGTGTCATGAAGGCCCACGCCACGGGCATAAAACACAATTGAATCGCATATTTATCGGTATTTATACCGAATTCTAGTATTTCGGATCATTTCAGTAAGATATGTTTACTTGAGTGTTCGCCTGTTGGCTCAAACTTCTGATCTCAATGTTTGCCTTCTCTTTCCAGATTCGGCCGTATGGTCGTTTTGTTGTCGCGTATCTTCTTCCTCCTGGGTTTCTCCCACAACATACTGTCGCGACGATACGATCGTAATTATCGTATCAACCCATATCCTTCCCATCCTCCACCCTCTGGTCTATCTCATGCAAAAGCAAGCTCATCCACTCTCCGTCCTCGCCTCACCTCGTCATCATCCACCTAACAAAAACCTCATTTTCAGTGGATACCAACGAGATGCCTCCTGCTTGTGCTGAATGCAAAGTCAAGAAGTGCCGCTGCACTCATCACGCGGTTGCTGCTCCCCTTGTCCCCGAGGCCGAGGCCAAGGTAAGTGTACATATTCTCACTCCAGGCACCTTGACTGAGCTCAGCTAATCCCTCTTACACCATAGAAGAAGATCGCCGTCGCCTCCAGTGACGATCTTTCTTTGGTGCCCTCTGAGCCCGAGGCTAAGAATGATGTCGGTTCCAACAAAATGAAGCCTTTGCAGAAGCCGGCACATGGTCCCCGTTCCGCCGCCACCGTCCCTCCTCCTGCCCTCCATGAGGTGCCCGACCAGCCCACAGACGACATGGCTGCCGCAATCCACCTCGGGATACACGTCGTGTACTCTCGGGAGCTCCGGCGCAACCTCGCGGCGTTCCAGGTCGCCTTCCAAGAGGGCTTGCAGGCCCAGTGCGCTAGCATGGCCGAAATAGAAGACAGCCTGCAGGCTGGGCGTGCTCCCACGGCCGCCGCCCTCCAAGAGAGCCAGCGGGCTCACCGTGCTACCATGGCTGCAGCTCAGGCTATTCAGCGCAAGCTCGACATGTGGGTCGAGTCCTACACCAGCGGCAATTAAGCGCACCCTGCCTCTCACCATACCTTTCGTTCCCAAGGGAAATCTGGAGCCACTTATTATCGTATTTCGATCTCGGATGTCTTTTCTTTTCCGGATTTTCTGCGGGAACGAGGGTTTTCCTTTTCATTCTTTTTTTTTGTGTTGTTTTTCTTTTGTTGTTCTCGACCAGGGCAAAGGTCATCACGTGGATTGACCACCATTGTATTGAGGAGCCACAAATGAACATACGCTCTTCCTCCTTTGACAGTCAACGGCTGTTTTCTTAATAGTAGGCTGCCACCGAGTAGCTCCTCTTGATTGCATCTCATGGTAATTCTCATCATTATCAAGTAACCCTGCTCCATCAACTAGTCTCTCGTTCTAGCAATGATTAGAAATGACTACCACTAGACCCTGTAAAATGTTTGAACGGGTATATTCTTCTCAATGATTACTAAGTACTCATCTATTAGACTACTTTGTCCGTATCTCACCCCGCTTGCGCCTCATTTTCGATGAGATCGCTAGATATTCCGGTTGAGCCCTCGAGACTCCTCGAGACGCAAACACCAACAAAAGATTCTAACTGTGGAATCCAGGCGGCAAATTCATTCCAAAATTGCCTCGTCTTTCATGCGACTCTGATTAAGGTCACCACGTTTCCACTCTAGTCTGAACAACCAAGGGAGATGCCCTGGTTGCAGAGTTCAAACACCCCAAAAGCTCGGTGAAAGCGATGATCATGACAAACGAAGCGGGAAACGTTGTTGAATCTTCGCAAGGCTTGTGATAGAGCTCTGTTTACCGGACCAGTCAAAAGCAGGGGAGCAAGTATCCCAGGGATTCGGGGGATGCGTTTGAGTATGTGCCCGTTCACCCTCCCAATCGATTGCTTTTATAACTAGGTTACTGAGATATCCCCCTAATCTGATGCTACATTGGAATACACAGTAAATGTTATTCGTGAACATCCCTGATGCCCGCGATCAATACCGCTCGGCAAGCAGTCACGGAAAAGCAATTTTAAGTTTGCGGTTAACTGCAAGGATTCAAATCGAGGCTCTGATTCTGAAACTTCTTAGTGACCTCCAGCCAAAGGTCAACGCCCGCCACTCCGTACCCAAGGGAAGGCACACTAGTAGTCGAAAGGCTCAAGGCAAAACAAGGTCGCCTACAAGGGCTAAATTACTGGCTACATGAGGGCGAGGCACGTTGTCACGCGGAGGTGAACCAGGAGGCCCAGGCAAAGAGCCACCAGATGCTTGTCTGCAGCGATCGCGGCGCCGAAGGTGATCCAGACCACAATATCGCTCGGGGTTCGAAGGTGGACAGTGATGACAAATCCGAGTATGAGTCTTCGAAAAGTTCATGAGCAGGGTTTCGATAGTTCTGCGTCGGACACCGAATACAACCCGGACGATTCAGATTTAAAACCTCCCAAGAAATCGACTTGGCTCGATGTCTTCGAAAGCATTTGACCAGAAGGAAGGTATGAGACCGCGGTTCCCTGGCAAGAAATGCTTGCAAGAGACCAGCCAGATGATCATACTCGCCACTTGATGGGGCTGTCTGCACTCGTGGATCTGGAAACAGTCAAGCTTGCACGTCACAATTAATTATGGGTCTGGCACGCGAGGTCGGTTTCACATTTTTAGATTGATATCCTCAAACTGTTGCTTAGGTTTTTTTCCTGCCTTCTGAATTAAGGATTTTGACTGCGAAGAAACGGTCATTGATATAGATGTACGATAAAATCTTCAAGACTATATATATGATATCGGGATATTGACACACTAGGTATACGAGGGACAGCGGGGGATGAAATAAAAATATCTTCACGAAGGCTTAATCAGAGTTCCAATATTTCACTTTCGGTTATGTTGATCATGAGTTTCCTTCCGCCCGTGATCAATGTCTGTCAAGAGCATCTAAACTTACAGCCAAGCCCTTTAGTCACATGATCCCAGGCGAAATCACCGATGTGTTGTGTTTGTGCAACAGTTTTATCTTTGCCTAAACCCATGAATATCTCAAATATTCTGCCTCGCCCTCGATCACGCAGCATCGAACCGCATAATCGCGTAGTCTCGTCTGAGTCACCATGTCGAACCTCCCAGAAATCGAAGATATCACGTGGACTATATACCAGAGCTATAACAATAACTTAACATACTAGATCCGGGGACCATATTATTTAGTTTGTTACAATACCCAGTACCGTCTCTTGTATGGCGCAAAGCACTACGGCGGAAGTTTACGATACCACTAATACGAACCATTCCCTTTCGATTCGCCCCGATCAGCCAATCACAACTGCCTATCATCGCGGTGGGACCTCCACGGGCTCTCCCGGTCTTCTGCGGGAAGGGATCGTCCGGCTTCTTATCCATAGCTCAGGTCCCTCTAGTATTACCCCCATGTCACATTTTCTAAGTGGTCCCCGTGATCCCCGTAATCCCCGTAGTCCCCGATCTCCGAGTCCAAGTCCCCGACCGCCGTTACGTGTCATACCTCATCTAGGAAAGGCGCCAAATGTAGGTGATTACCTAGATGAAGCCCTGCGCTTGGTAGTCTGGATCAAAAATATCAGTGACACCTGTTTGTTTCGGCTTTACTTCGTCTTTTCTTCAATACTTGTATTTGTTACGGTTGCCGGGAGACTCGACCTCCATGTCTCCGAGGAATGGATGTCTCGGAAGGCGATCGATCCTCTTGTTTGGAGGGTCTATTTGAAGATCATCACGACAACATGTTGAGGCCAAATTGTAGGACTATGCTATCCAGTAGTGTACAGAATAAGCCAGAGCAATCCCGTTTTCGCTTTCCTAGGGCAACACTATACAAATCTAAACAGACTGACACCTGCAGGCATTGACCGCTCCTGTAAATCGATCCGTTTCAAGCAATCTGCATAGTTATATGTAAAAAGATGCAACTGGCCCTATGATGTGCAACTTTCCGATTATCCAGATGACCCAAACCAGCTTAGTGCCATACAGTGCAGTACAGGTGGGTCCCGGTTCAGTACGAGTACCTTACCAGTACCCGCTCGACTTGTTTTCTCGATGTTTCTTTTCTTCCTCCCTTCCCCTCCCCATACTCTCCTTCACTCCTTCACCGTCACTTGCATTTTCCACTCTGCAGATCCTAGTCAAATCTTCTACACTGAGGGGTTAAAGATCACCTCCATCCGCTTCTTATTCCAGCGTCCCGACAACCGCGCTCAACCTAGCATTTTGTCTCCAGCTTTCTACCTCCACGAATTGCGATTTTGGTCGAACTCACGATTTATGACGAAACGAACACCTTGCTTACCCATTTACATTTAATATCCCGGCCCTACAATCTATATATCCGACTTGCGGAAACGTGGTAACCTCAAGAGACAAACATCTAAAGTGATGGCATCAATGGATGCTCTGGTGGCCTTCACCCACATGAAAGACAACCTCCCTGCGTGGATTACCCGCGTATCAGAGCTTGCAGCACACACCCACACCAAACACAATGAATACTCTGCAGCCTACAGACGCCACGCGAACTTCAAACCCCGCCGACGCAAACACAGCTCCGTATGCTCAATCCACACTGATGATCTCGTTCCAATCGCACAACGCAAAGAGCCCAGCCCAGAACCTCCCGCGGCGGTGACACCCAGCGACACGCCCGATGTCGGTCAACGCTCAGGCCGCAAGAGACCCTCCGACGATGCCCCATCTGTCGAGTCGAATGAAGAGTACGCGTTTGTGAGCACGAGGCACAATGTCATTATTGAATACGATGGTCACACACAGAAGACGCTCGAGGCAATTGTTCGGGACATCGGAGTGGCAAGGAACAACATGCGACGAGCGAAGATGGCAATGATGCCGCGTACTGGTATCCGCGCCGGTATTCTGAACCGAGGCCCGAACTTGAACATGCCAAGCACAGCATCAACACAGGCTTCATCGCCACTTTCCTGCATCCGGAGCACCCGGACTGCACCTGGGGTTGTCGGCGTCTCTGGATCCACCGTTCTTCGGAAAGAATCGCCCTTCGACTATGCCGACAAGCAACTGGAACTCGCCCACTCGCTCTGCGAGACAGCAGCTTACCAAGTTCTCCGATCTGGCGATTGTGGAACGGAACTCGACGGGGTGGAAGAGAAATTCAAGATGCTACTTGAGGCCGCAATCAACGAGGTGGATCGCATTATGGCCGAAAAGAAGCAGCAGGAAGACCTAGAAGCACAACAAGCTGATGGGACTGCGCAAGATGCACCTCCCAAACCACCCCCGACCCCTTCCGCGGCGCGACTCGCCAGAGTAGCCGCAATTGCTTCTAGCAAGCCCTCAACGACCACCGCAGGCGCCATCGAAGTCGACGACAACTCCTCCCTATCGGCCGAGTCAATCGACCTCTCCGCATTCCGATCATCAAGGATCCGAGTGTAGGACTATTACCACATCACCTCATATTAGCGATTTAGCGTGTCTTGAAAATCCTTCCAGTATACATTGCCAGTTGATACCTTCGATTTGTTGGGATACCATTTATTTTCTGTCTCGGATTGGCCTTTGGAGACCTCTACCTGCATATTTGACTGCGATCGATTTGTGATTCTGAATTCGCGCATACCTTACACCATTCTTTTACTCTTTCACTACCTGTCTTTCGCTCAACTTTCCTACTGTCCTACTGTCCTTTGATCACATTTTCCACGGACTCGCTTTTCATATTTTGGGATACCATTCTCCTGTCTGTCTCTTGCATCAGCTCATGACTCTTCCAGGAGAGCACGGTGTTGGCACTGGCGTTTCTATCTGCTTTTTGGGGGGGGGGACTGATTTGGTTCTATTAAACCTAACGGAGTTTGGGATTTGCTGCGTTACCTATACCAAGCCATTTGCAGTAAATCTTCGGCTGGAAATTGACTCTTCATCGAGGTTCTACTTTCAATTTCAGGATCTTGGACTTGGGGATGGCGTACAGTAGTCTCCACCAAAGACTGGTACTACAATCGGAGGCGTAACGGCCCCGACATGACATCCTACATCCCACACATCCCACAATGATCTGGTCAAGTTCCACCGCTAATCATGTACAATATATAAATGTCCTTCTCATTGGTTCTCATTCGTTGTAGGAATCCTAGACTTACTTGGCTCCGTCACGGTCCCATGCCCATGCACGACCGGTACCCAGACCCTGTCTGAGTCCGCACTGACAGGCAGAGATCATGCAAGTCTTCGCTGGCTAATTTTCAAGCGAGCGAATCGTCCAGCGTAGCGTTTGATGGAGTCTTTTAGTTGGCGTTGGCACGGGAAGTCACCACTTAGAGTGATTGGTACCCAACCTTCCTGAATAGGTAAACAGTCGGGCGAGAGAGCTAGCGTCGCGGCTAATAATAACAAATTTCGGATAGGATGCGCCATGTCCAGTAGCGGCCAGGCTACCAGGGTAACGCTTACGGGGCGCAAAAAAAAAAAAGAAAAGAAAGCCTCAAAGCGAAAAGATTTATATTAAATCTGACCCTCTATATGAACTACCTTCTCGAATTGATTGCGGCTCAGATACCTTTTCCCCACCGTAACCTGCACCGTCTGGTCAAAGTGGCAATTGGCTGGTGATCCTCCCTTACTGGGCGAATTGACTATTAAAAGTAGGTGTACGTGTTCTGCTGCTTTGGTGTGTGTGCAGTACGTGCATGCACGGCATCTACATCATCGAGCATGAGGCACAGGCATTTGCGCAATACGATTCCAAATAGCAAGGATAACCTTGATTTTCAACGAGCGCGGGATCCGCATTTTCTGTTGAGTATAGGGGAACTACTGTACTTCTAAGACACGGCATAAGTTATATTATGGGTATCCAGATCGGGAACGCCTCTTATACTGTAGGAGTGTGGATGTGTGGGTTCTGGATCATGACTACAGTATAATACATGTAGAAGGGCGAATTTGTGGTCTTTTGGTCGATCATGGATGGAGGGCATTTATTAGATGTCCGCCAATTATATCGCCGAGACAGGGATGTTGTTCACTGTCGGGGACATATAAGCCGTCATTGTGGACATTTACGATTACGATTAACTTACCATGGTCCGCTCGTATTACGTCCATACAGTACATTTGTACGGAGTACGAGCGCGCTTCTTAAATTAGCTTAATTCCCGAGTACAGTATGTCGTCGCGGCTCTCGTACCTTTGAGAGACGGCCGGCGTCTCACGTTGAGCACATCCAGCCTCTAGAACACTGACAATTTCAATCGAAGGTTCCATCGCGATGTAACCGACCTCTTAGTTTGAACTTAGAGTAGATTAAAGGGTTGAATTGGCCGTCAACGGCTTCTTATGTTCATACAGTATGGAGTATGGCAGGTAATACATACGTACACAAGCCTATATCTTAGCTACTGTAGAGTCCGCTCCTGCCCCGCGCGCCCGTTCCCCTGGGAGTGATCGACCCCCTTTGTGGCTCGGCTGGGGTGGAGTCGCATCACTCCTTTTTTGGGGGGTCCGGAAAATAGCTCTTGTATTTTACGCAATTGCAAAAGTACCATGCAGTAGTTTGGAGGGGTGGAGGGGTGGGAAGACTGTGTATTCAACAGTGGTGAACGGTGTCTTATAGGTGTAGTAGAGTGAATGTTACGGAGTAGGGTCGGGTTAGTTGTTAGCTTCTCTCCCGTCCCAGTGGAGAATGCCATATAAATGCAACCTTGGAAGAAAGAGTTATATTTTAACTTATGTTATCGCAAGCCTTTAAGCGTAACCAAGACCTAGTATCACCATACAGTTATATATACAGTACATGGACCCCACCCCGCTAGCCACAATTGACAGGTGACAAGGAAGAGAGCAAGCCACCACCGTCAATCACGCCAATGGCTACCTGAAGGACAAGGATGAGTCTTTATCTGCCGTGGTGCCAATGCCAGTACCAGGATGCGAGCAGGATTATACAAGAAAACTCGGTCTCATGTCCCGGGTAGGCAAGAGGGTCTCGCAGGATCCTAGTTTGATAAAGGGGTTTACAAGTATGTATCTGAAATAGTAGAGCGATTTGATAAATTAAATATGCATGCAATGGACTACACATCCTGTTCGTTTGTACACGTATTCTTGTTTCATGTGGGAGATCCTGGGGTGGTGATATCCATACTTGAAATACGGTATTACGTGGCACATGACGAGTTTATTACGGTCTTGTACGCGTATGTCGATGTGATGCGTGATACGTGCATATTTCGTATTGATATCGTCGATATGAGTGGTGATGTCGCTTGCGTGTACTCGATATGGGAGGGCATACATATAGTTTATGTAGGATTATCGAGGTTGAAGACCACTCAAAAGAAGCTTACTTGTAATGAAACAGATGTGTGTGCTATTTAATACGTTGTGTACGTTGTGTATAGCAGTAATTATGGACCTGGTGAGGCTAAATGTACCTCAATTGACAAAAGTACCTAATGATTCTCACTGTGGACTGTTCGATCCTGGGCACCACCTTACCTTTCTGTCATTTCTTTTCATATAGATATTGAGTCGAATGATATAGAATATTGAAGCGTTTATTAGGTCGCACGCTTGGTTTGCTAGTCACTTTAAAGTCAATATGGTCATCACTAACAACGGAATTGCGTTGATATATATCTTGGGTCATAACTCAACATTGTTCCGCCTCCAAGTGATGTTCAATAAGAAAAGAAAACAATGGACCCTACCACCCCAAAACGTCAGTAGCCCAAAACTGGTATGCACATATACTCTAGACGAAAGTAGACCGAAGACCAGCCGATGACTACGAGTACGTACCAGGGAGCGAAGATATCATGGGATCAATACTCCGTACAGTCGACTACTCTGTAATCTATAACAGAGTGAACACCCCTTATATAATAGTACTCAGTATCAAGTCAAAAGATCAGACGAAAATACACCTAACCTACAAAAAACAAACACACAAATCAAAAAAATATCATTCGATTTGTGAAAACCCCCAGAGGGGAAGATGAATATAGTACAGGTACATCAGCCAAGACGCAAGACATCATCAAGCATGAAACAAAGGACGTGTACGCATGTATACCAACTTCGTGGCGAGCATCACAAGTTGCAACACATATATCGACATGACGCGTGAACATCTCACCACCAATTAACATTTAAGATTATAGAGAAAAGAAAAAGAGAAAGGCCAGAGCTACATGTACAAAAGCAAGTAGATGTGGACTCCCAAGCCAATCCTAGATGATCCAGATAGACATAAAGAGACAGAGATTGGAAAGAAAAGAAGAAAGAAAAAAGCCTTGATTAGAGCTGATCGGTGGTTAAGACGATCGGTTGGGTATCACAGTTTACCGAAACCGAGTCGGGGACATGCCAAGTCATGTGTATGTGTGTACAAGGGCAGATCCCTTGACCCGGATTGAGATATCGTTCGACGAAAGACGGAAGTGCGGAGGTATGGCGCTTAGTAGGCGATCTTCTCCTCATAGATGGGGGGCTCGCCCTTGGACACGTTCCAGTTGACCTTGCACTTCTCGTCGAGCCAGGCGTCCTCGTCCGTGATGGGGATGACGCGCATGGTGTGGGCGACTTCCTGGCTGCTGATGCCGAGGGGGTCACGAGGAATCCAGAGGAGAGGAGCCTGGGCGGTGATGGAGGGGTGGCAGTAGGCATCACGCTCGGCCTCGGCTGAGTACGTGGGCATAATCTCCGTGGTGGGGACCAACTTGCGCATTTCGTGGTAGCTGTTGTACCGGTCTGGGCGGAGGAACTTGGTGAAGATGTTGGCCTTGGAAGGGGTGGATGGGGCCTCGGTCAGACCCTTCTCAGCCGAATCGACGTTGCCGACACTGTTGTTCACATCGGCGACGCCACTGTCGCGGGGAGCGATGGTGGAGCTGGCGGGGACGTTCGTGCCGTCGGACTGGGACTTCTCATCGGGGTTGAAGGTGGTCTTCTCGGCGGCGAGAAGAGCCTCTTCTTCGGCCTCGAGGTTCTTTGGCAGGTAGTTGAGGAGAGGCTCCATGGCGCCGTTCATCGAGATGTGGTACAGAATGACGAAGACAAGGAAGATGATCTCCAGGATCAGAGGAGCAACAGCAATCTGGTTGGAACCGGAGGCCATGGCAAACAGACCGATCAGGCAGACCATCAGCAGGTAGCAGCCAACGGTGAGATGCTGCAGACCACGGGGGTAACATCTACCCTGGGTGTCGATGTTGGCATTCGACACGTACAGGAGGTTGTACCGGTAGGCGAAGTAAAAGAGGTATAGACCGATAGTACCAAAGCCCATGACCAATGGGGCAATGCAAGAGTAGGTAATGGCTATGAAGAGTCAGAATTGTATCAAACAAACCGTCCAAGGGCAAACTTACCAACAACAGTCAACAGGGTGACGGCAGGGTAGACAGTACCCCATCCAAGACCAGACAAATTCGACCAACGAGTGTACATCTTACGGGGAGTGCTGTCCAGGAACTTGCCCAGAATCTTTCCGAGGATCAAAGGAACAATTTGGAGCAAAGCACCGGAACTGAATGACAATCCTTGGAGGATAATGTAGGAAATGTAGAAGTTGGCCGAGAGGGGAATCTTGTTGGCCAGCAGCGAGGCAGCCGAAGAAGGGTCTTTGATGATGGAAGTCACAACACTGGTGGCTGCAGAGGCGAGAGTAATCACCAGGAAGACCTGCACAACCTGGAAAGCGAAGAACCAGTTCTGAACGGTCAATTCAACAGAGGCAGCTGTGGGATCACCACCCCACTTGGCCATCAAGCGAAGAATGATAGGAACTAGAGCAATGAGAATAGACATTAGGACAACGGGCAAAAGACCGGTAATAACACCCTTGATCCATGAGGGGACACTGTTAATGAAGCTCAAGAAATGAACCTTGTCGATCAAAGCGTTAATGTTGGAGATGGCACCAACAGCAGCAGTTGGGATGGCCCAGAAGATGATCAAAACACAGACAAAAGCAATGGTAGCGGCATGGCGACCGAGACGCTCCCACCACTTGATACGGAGGTTGGCCCAGATAACCTGAGTAGGGTCCAAGCCGATATAGCGAGGGCTCATGTGCAGAGGGAGGTTGTGAGCGACAGACTGGTAAGAAGCCTGGGCATCGGCCTGGTGGTAGAATTCAACAAAGATCGAGGAGACCAACTTGACATCACCGGCACGGTGCTTAGCCTGCAATTCCTCGATTTCAGGGGTGAGACGCTCAATTTCGGCACGAGCCCAGTTGATAGTGTCAACCTTCTTGCCGATCAGCATCTTGAGACGGTGAGTGGGACGGTCCTTGGCCTGGACCCAGCGAGCAGCGACAGAGCCAGACTCATCATCGAACTGGCCATCACCAATTTCAGTCTCGGGGTTTTCAGCCGAGCCCTGCTTCTTCAGGGCCTTGTTGCGGGCCTTGTTAGCCATAACAATGAGCTTAGTCTCGGCACCCTCGAGCTTCATCGCGGCGCTATCACGCTCCTTGACCTTCTCCTCGAGCTCCTTGGTATCCGAAGCGACCCAGACGTTCTTAACCTTGTCGCGGCCGAACATGGTGCGGACCTTCTCCTTGTTCAGGAGATCAGAAGTCACCGCAGTGAACAAAACAGTGCGGGACGAAATGCGATTGGCATAGGCAGGAGAGAGTAGGTAAGCCTGGCGCAAGTTGATATAGAAGATGTGCTCGCGAGTAACCATGAAGAAGACGAACGCAACGAAGATCCAGGAGATAAAGCAGTGCGCAAAGTAGCGCGCATACGAATTCTTGCCAATGTTCGAAATAGACAGCATGTTCAACTGCGTCTGACCACCACCACCGGTAGCATTGACGGGCCACAGCACCGGGAAAGTCATGCAGCAGCCGACAAACAGCAAGATAGAGCACATCTTCAGGAATCGGAGCAGCAGATAGGCGTCCATCGAGTGGTGCTGCAGAACGTATGTATCGGGAAGCTTGTACATGGCCTTGATCCAGTCCACCAAGCCGGTCGGGGTATCGGGGGTGCGCTCCCAGCCTCGCAGGTATCCAATGTAGGTTCGGGGCATGTACATCCTGCGATTGGTCTTTCGCAGGATAATGAACAGAATCACCATCACGGCGAAAGACAACAAGGCAGGAACGAGGGTCGTCACCAATCCTGACGCTGAGGGCGACGCAGTCGACGGGTCGTCCTAGTTTCCAGTCAGTAAACAAGCTTCAGCTTTTGTGGCCAGGCACACGTACCGCGCGAGCCATCAGCCGGTGAACACCGACGTCGGCCATAGTGAACGATTAGAGGTTAGACAGGTGTAGATAGTATATTCAAGAAGTCAAACACGAGTGTGTCGAAGGGGGTTGAGCTTCCCCAGGTGTATGGAGAAAGGAAAGAAAAAAAAAAGAGAAAGCTTAAGGTTGCGAGAGGGGCATGTTTTACGATCGATCTTCGTCTACGTAATTGGAGCATCTCTTTACAAGGGGGATTTTTTCTTCCCTTTTCTGTCTCTTTTTGCCTCTTTCAGTTAGAGTATGCGTTGACGAACTAATTACTCTAGTGTTACTCCCCTGTTCGGGCCTCCACTCCTGGTGGCGAGTGATCGATCCAGACTTGCAATCACTGGTACGCCGAGATGCGACCTGTGATAGTCCGGTTCCTTGGAGTCAATGACTCTTTTCGACGTCTCTCGTGTGGATCGTTGTCTTCATTCTTCGTCTTTTGTTAATGCCTGCATCGCGTTGACCCAGCCCCAGCCCCCAGCCCGCGGAGAAGACCGAGTCACCGCCACAGCAAGCCACATGTCTATATTCTAGCTACTTCACCCGACGTCGATCATGACGCTCAGGCAACAGGGATGTTCAAATGGTTACGCAAGGTGCCGTGCGAGACAATCTTCTCCCGTCTCAGTTTCACACATAACATAACAGTTATTTGGTTCGATATGAGTGTCCCTTGGGGGTATCCAGGGGTTCTGTCTCCACCAAAGAGGTCAAAGTCCGGAAAAGGCACACATTTTAGCACCCAGTATGCCAGGTAAGAATATACGGAGAAGACTCAGGCATGTCTGGATTTCATTAAAATTGCCAACTCACTAATGTGGTCTATCACACGTGTAAATCACAAAGCCCGATATACGAGGATCATCAAATGAAGATTTTGCGTTGGCACTAGCTTGGCCGCCAAGAGTAGCTAGTGGGCTGCACTATTGACAAGGATCTGATGGGCCCAGATTTGCATGAGACTTCCTGCGAGTTCAATGTTTGCCTTTTGTTCTTTCGTTTCATGTCTTTCCATTTTCTTTTCATTTCTTTTCATTTCTCGACATCTTTCCATTCCACGCCTTGGACGCACCCCAGACCACAACGGGGCTGCATTTTTGCGCCACAGCTGGAAAAAGGGGGTTTCGGGGGAATCTACATGTTCAGCAGGTGGAATGCGCATGAACCATGGGCACTGTGTCATGGATTCAATCCAATCAAGACCGTCATGATAGTCATTTAGTGCCATATCTTGTGGTGATCGGCGATCTCTCACGTTAAAATGTGTAAATGTAAAGTGCTGAGATCGTTTGCGGTGTACGGAATAGTGTCGGCGTACCAGTGTTCGGTATCTCTCTCCAATGCCCCAAAGCAGAAACGATCTGTGGAGTCCGAGGTTACAAGCGAGTCAGCTCCCCTGGTTCCACTGCCGAACCCGTGGCCTCTATGACGATTACACTTTCCCAGCTTTTGGGTCCTGCCAAGCCATTTCATTTGTGATATCAGATCTGAAAAAATAATAATAATTGCATTTATTGCCTAAGTTGGAGCTCCTCTTCAAAGAGATTGACTCCGCGGATAGGTGTGTGCAGAGAGAGGAAGCTCATGAGGATCTCGTTAAATTGGAATTGAAGGTCGGGTCGGAGTTGCTTGTGACATCGGAGCAACTCGCCTGTAGTCCAACCACGTTCGGGGTCCCGTAAATCGGAATCATACCCTTCCTCCAGCAGTAACCAGAGTAGCGTTTCGCAAGCTGGATCCTGGTCAAGGTGGTGCTGCCTCACCATGGTGCACAACTGGGCCAGGAACCGATCGGTTTTATCGGGGGAATCTTGGAAATACCAGAGTGCAGCTGTGATATAGATGAGGGCTGCGGTTCGGCTGACCTCTTGGGTCTGTGCGTCGCGAACCACATATATGCGCCAGGCCTGCGGGACCTGAGAGGGACGCGGGCCGCTGGACAGTAGAGAGAATAGTGGGCTCTCCATTTGGAAAGCTTTGAGTCGGTGAGGTGCTTTGAGGAGGTACCCTGGCGTGTTGTGCAGTCGCATTAGATCTTCGGCGCCACGGAGAAATGTGAGTAGCCAGTTTTGCTCGGCCTGGTTGATCTTGGGCATTTCAGGTGTCATAATATATCGCACGTAGTGTATGAATGCTTCCACGGGTACGTTGCTTCCGGTTCGCGGCCGCATAAGTTGAACGGCTCGATCGACATGGACTTGGGCCTTCTGTTTACTCCCGAATCGTTCCTCATGCAAGGCCATTCCAGCCAATGCCATTGCAAGTTCATCCGCTTTCACTTGCATGGAGCCCGAGGTTGCCTCTTCGATGAGTTTGGTGGCTTGACCGACGTGGCGCTGTATTTCCAAGCTGTCTGTCATGCCGTATAGTTGTGCTTTCCACCGCGCACAGTATGCAAGGACGACCGCTTTGAATGTGAGAGGGTGCCCCATTGCTGTACGGAATATTTGGTTCTTTAAGTAGGGGTTCTGCCCAGACCAATATGTTAACTTGCTTGTCCAATAGTCGGCCAATTCGAGATCTTCGGGGTCGTATTCCATTGGAAGACTGTCGAATGGATCTTTTCGAGAAGCATCGAGTATTGTGACAGGCGAACCAATGTGTAGTGGTGGACGAGGCTGAGAGGGTGGTGTCACATTGGAGAACCTAATTTGAAGTTGCTGCACACCATCAGCATCCGTAAACATCACCAGTATAAACAACCTCGCAGCTAGACTGCCAGAACCGTGACTTGGAGCGACTGGAGGAAAGCAATTCCCATACCGAAAATTGACTGTCGGAAGATTCTTGCGCCACTGTCGAAGACGCATCCGATTCAGTGTCGGCGATGAGTCCTGCATCTGCCTTCACCGGCCATGTGATACCATCCGAAGCTTTCTCCGCGGAGCCATGTGACATCTTGCGCTGCTTTCTTTTCTCTTGTACATGATGGCGCATAACATGAGCGCGCTTTTCTTTAGACGATGAGTTCGAATCGACAAAGTAGAAGTGTTGACTCTTGGGTAATTTGTTCTTTGAATCGGGAGCGCGACGTCGGCGTCCGGCTTTCGAAGTTTGAGGGCCATTGCCAGAGGGTGCTATAATGAATTCTATATGTTAGCCGCTGTGGAGTGCTCGAGTTTCTCTCGTGCGTAAAAAAAAAGCATACCCGAAGCTTCCGGCTCAGGTTGGCCCGAAGGGACAGCACTTGAGGCCAGTGTTGATTTGACCAACGGCTCCTCGTTCCCAGACATATCGAGATGCGGAAGATAAAAGACTTCCTTCAACGTGATGCAATCTTTCACAGCTGCATACCGAACCGACGACCAACAAAATTCCTCCAGTCAAGGACTCGGGATTCGGAAGAAACCATCGCAAGATGCACGTCCTATAAAGGTCACAGGGTTAGGTGACTATGCGCGAAGGGTCTCGGAGGGGAGGATGTGACCGAAACAGGCAAATTGGTAATTATACATACGACGTAATGCAAAGCGAGGGGGGGGAGTAATTCCCCGAGGGGGGAATGAGATGTGATATGGGTCTTAAATGAAGGTGCTGGGGGTTTTTGGGTCTTAAACCAGCAGACACCGGGATCCTTGTGGGCCGACATAGACCCCGTACGGGAACTGGATCGGATCAGGAATATATGTGGCACAGGAACGTCAACGGTTATGACACCAGGCACCTGAGAGGGTTTAGAACGTAACGCAGCCACTTGCCTGGATGGGACGAAGATCCGACCATTCCCAGCTCGAGTAGAGGGGCCATGTTACATAAGCAGTATCTACTATTACCCGATTGGGACATAGGTCGCTACTACATAGGCCCGCTTCTCTCCTTCTTTGCTTCTTTATGATGTGTCTGATCAGGTACTTTCGAGCACTGCAACTATGACTGACCATATACATCTCTCTATTCGAGTTCATCCTTAGCCACTGTACTGACAAAAGTATAAAGTAGTCAGCTGCATGATGAAACGCAGATGCCAAGCTTGAAGCGGCGGCAATAGACTTAACACGAGCGATGAGACTTGGTGGCTACACTACTGACCTGATGCATACAACTTCGGCGCCTTCTACTTCCAATTACATCCTTGCCACACTTATAGATCGATTCAGATGCCCCGGCTATGATTCCTATCACATACCTTAGATATATGGTCCCCAAGCAAACTACCTCTATATTCTGTGGATAGCGTAAGAAGGTTTGCAGCACTCTTCTCGACGGCCAAAAGAATCCAAACAGAACGGGTTCATATTTTATACTAACGTGTGGTAGCATCATCGAGGTTGATAAGATAACATCCCCGTATTGCGTCGCTATAGCCGAAGTTAAGTCAAAACATCCCTGATTCAGGAGTGAAATAGTTTTCCAAATTCACAGAAAACCCGTCGGCTCTTCGACTCCACAGCGATTTCTTCAGGATCACGATGCCAAGCTCTCTCCACTAAGCTATTAACCAATGGCTCATTTCAAAACGGACGAAATGGATACCCGCCACGTTGTTGACTAGTGCCGAGGAAGACATCGAGTCGGATTTCAACTGCCAAACTCAGCGCGCAAGGAGCTCGATCCGGGTTTAGATCTATCAACCCAGCCACAACCGCCTGTTTATTTTGAACCACTTGCAGTCCAAAGAAGAGCTGAAATATGATGTCAAGCTCTTGTGCGGTGCTCCTCTCATCTTTGTGAACATTTTCATAATCAAATTTTCAAGCGGATAAAAATCGGATCGCCGGGTTTGCCGAGGTGTGGGAGCAAGACGCGGCTAGAATGCCAACAGCAATTTGGAACGTCACCATCTTCCCTGGGCCCACCCTAAGGGCCTATTCCTCTCACCCGTCTGCAGATCTTTCGCCGAGCAACATACGGTAGTTGAAGGGAGATCGCCGGCAGACGTGTGCCTATTCGACCTGGATGGCATTTGTCAGCAGGCAACTCGTAGACTGCCTCCTGCTTGACCCCTGGTGCACGACCCAGCTCGGGTTTGACGACTTATAAGCAGAAGGATTGCGATGTCATTGCTAGAATTTCTATCACATTGACTACTGTAACTTATAGGACGCTTCCTTTAAATGTTTTCTTTTTTTCGAGCTCTTTTTTCCCATGCTCCACAACCCACAGAACAACAGGGAAGCGCAGTGATATATAACCATTCTAGGGATGATGCATATAGCGGCGAGAGGGATCAGATTGGCCATAGATTTCACTCCAATACAGGAGAAGACCGATTCTTCTCAACCAGTATAGATTTAGCCGTGTCACGGGACCACCCCCTACCCACTCGGTGGTCCCGTGACACGGCTATATGCCACGTCCCAAAGGATTCAAACTGATCACATAAGGACTTACATAAGAAACCACTTAACGCGTCGGAGAGGATCAATTGTTCTCCCGTTCACGCGTTCGCGTCGCGCGCGTTGCCCAAGGAGACCCGCGAAAAACTAAGATAGCAATCCCACCGAGTCCACGCTATCACCTCTCCACATTCATTTTTCAGACGTGAGAGCTTGATACCCCTTCTAACTGGCCCCATTCAGGCCGTTCGCTCTCTGCCATGTCTTCGCTATTTGATGCTGTGATTCAGTCCGAGTTGGGCTCTGGCCCTGCTCGTGAGAACTTCCAATCCGATAACCTCCCTAGCTCTCGGCGCTCGGAGAGCAATGGTCCAATGAGTGATATGAATGCTTTTCCTGATGACCGAGTCGTAGGAGCTGGTAACTCAGCAGTCAGCCGTCTTCGAAACCCATATGCCCCTGGCCCCCCACCCGTAATCGATGAGGCAGGAGAGAAGGTTCAGCAGAACTTCGAGGAGCTGCTGGAGACATTCGTGGATGAGCCGCCATCATCAGCGCCACCATCATCGGGACAGGTTCTCAGCAAGAACTATTACATTGCGCAGATCAAGGGCATGAAAAAATTCGAGCTATCAACTCTCTATGTTGATTTCACCCACCTCACATCCTGGGAGAATCCTATTCTTGCAGATGCCATCGCCACACAATACTACCGATTCCAACCTTTCCTCACGAAGGCGCTCCACAACCTCATCGCCAAGTACGAACCAGAATATTTTGTCTCCCACCGATTGACCGCTAGCGCCTCTTCGCAAGCCAGTACTTCCGTTGCCTCCGCGTACGCGGGCGTTTCTGACAACCCCGACCTCGAGCGTCAAATCCGCGAGAAGACCCGTCACCAGCAGACCGACAAACTGTTTGCCCTTGCATTTTACAACCTACCTTTGGTTTCCAGATTGCGACAGCTTCGGACAAACCAGATTGGTAAATTGTTGTCTGTCTCGGGAACAGTCACACGGACCTCCGAAATCAGGCCGGAATTGTCGCTCGGAACATTTATTTGTGAAGGCTGCAAGACTGTCGTCCCGAATGTGGAGCAGACCTTCAAGTACACAGAGCCAACAGAGTGCCCCAACAGCACCTGTGGTAACCGAGTAGGATGGCGTCTCGACATTGGAAAGAGTACATTCGTCGATTGGCAAAAGGTCAAGCTCCAGGAATCATCGCACGAGATCCCCACTGGTAGTATGCCACGGACAATGGATGTGATCTTGCGTGGTGAGATGGTTGACCGTGCCAAGGCTGGTGAACGCTGCATCTTCACCGGTACCTTGATTGTCGTCCCCGATGTCAGCCAACTTGGTCTTCCCGGTGTTCGCCCTGAAGCAGTCCGTGACAACGGTTCCTTCCGAGGCAACGAGGTTGGCGGTGGCGGAGTCTCTGGATTAAAGTCCCTGGGAGTCCGTGATTTGACCTACCGACTGGCCTTCCTTTCTTGCATGGTCACGCCAGACACAACCACCCCCGGCCAGAAGCCAGAACAGCAATTGAGTGGCCAGTCAAACAACATTTTGGCTTCCTTGAATCAGAACCAGGAGGCTGATACCGGGGATGAATCAGCCCAAGAAGCTTTCCTGCAAAGTCTCACACCTGCTGAGGTGCAGGACCTCAAACAGCTCGTGCACTCAGAATACATTTACTCCCGATTGGTGGACTCGATTGCACCGATGATTTGGGGTCATCGCCAGATTAAAAAGGGTCTTCTTTTGCAGTTGATTGGTGGTGTTGCCAAATCGACAGAGGCTGAGAGCCTGCAACTTCGTGGTGATATCAACATTTGTATTGTTGGCGATCCATCCACCAGTAAGAGTCAGTTCTTGAAGTATATCTGCTCTTTGCACCCCCGCGCAGTCTACACCAGTGGTAAAGCCTCTTCCGCTGCTGGTTTGACTGCTTCCGTCGTGAAGGATCCCGAGACAGGAGAATTTACAATCGAAGCTGGTGCCCTGATGCTTGCAAACGGTGGTGGTATTTGTGCCATTGACGAGTTTGACAAGATGGACATCCACGACCAAGTCGCCATTCACGAAGCCATGGAACAGCAGACCATCTCTATTGCCAAGGCTGGTATCCACACTACTCTGAATGCTCGTGCATCTATTCTTGCCGCCGCCAACCCCGTTGGTGGCCGCTACGACCCTAAGACCACCCTTCGCAACAACTTGAACTTCAGTGCACCAATTATGAGTCGTTTCGATGTATTCTTTGTCATCCGTGATGACCCCAAGGAGTCCGTTGACCGCAATCTGGCCGAGCACATTGTCAACGTTCACATGAACCGAGATGAGGCCGTGGAGCCGGAGTTGAGCACTGAACAACTGCAACGCTACATCCGTTTCGCACGTACATTCCGCCCTGTTTTCACTGATGAGGCAAAGACTCTGCTAGTCGAGAAATATAAGGAGCTGCGCACCAACGATTCCCAAGGTGGCATCGGCCGCTCTTCTTACCGTATCACTGTCCGTCAGCTTGAGTCTCTGATTCGTCTTTCAGAGGCTGTTGCCAAAGCCAACTGCGTTGAGGAAATTGTTCCCAAGTTCGTCATCGAAGCCTATGATCTCCTCCGACAGAGTATCGTGACTGTCGAGAAGGACGATGTTGAAATGGACGAGGAAGTATCTGGTGGCACAAACAACGCCGATGAGGACCAGGAGATGGGAGATGGCGATAACGAAGGCGATAGCCCTATGCGCGACGTTGAAGCTCCCCAAGTCTCCGCCCAGGCCGAGCGCCAAAAGACCAAGATCACCTACGACAAGTATGCCAAGATCCTAAACAAGATCGTGAGACGTGTGCACGAAGACGAGGTGAACTCCGGCGAGGGTGTTGAGCAAGAAGACCTTGTGCTTTGGTATTTGGAGCAAATCGAAGGTGAATTGAATACGGCAGAAGACTTGGAGCGCGAGCGTGAGTTGGCTGTCAAGGTCATGAAGCGCATGGTCAAGGTTAGTTCCCATATTTTTCTCTATCGATCCTCGCATCACCCCATTGAACGTGCCCACTAACACATTCATTCTATAGGACAAACTGCTGCTGCGTATCTCTGGATCTGGCCTCACTGACGATTCTGTGCCCCAGCAAGATGACGGCAAGGTTCTTTATGTCATGCATCCTGACTGTGTCTTTGAGGAAATGTGAGCCTAGACACTCTGTTTTAATCTCGTGGGCTGGTTATATGTTTCTTCTTCTATGCTGTCTTATGGTGCTTGATTGTGTTTAGCATTTTCAACGGGTTAAATACAAGGAGCAAGGGGTTATGAGTGATGATATCCGTCTGATTTCGTCTTACGTTGTTTAATAGGACATGAATTATACTGATTTATAAATTCAATTGCCATGTCAAACTAGTTTTAACATTAGTTCCCGGATGATGTAAAAGTTATATATAGCTTTTGCAGATGTACAAGGGCCCACATCTGGCCGTTAGCAACTCTTGAAGTGAACAATGGGCCGTTCCTTTGTTATAATTGCGCACAACAGTGCATGTAACTTGATGGGATCGACTTGATAATGACCGTGGAGATCAAAGGGCGGTGAGTGCTATTAAGTTGGCAGAAAGAGGCGGTGTATTGCCCATTCCAGCACTGCGGAGCGGATCTGACCAATAAACGCCTCTGAAATCTCGATAGCATCGACCATCTAAAGATTAAAAAAAAAAAAATACAACACCGCAACTCATCAATCATGTCACACGTCATGGAGCATCCATCTCGAGCCAAGAGAAGAAAGCTCGATGATCCGAACCCAGCTGAACAGATTAAAATTACATCCGCGGCCCAGCTCCGTGAGCTGTTGGCCGTCCAGCAGAATGCCCCGTTGGCGAGGCAAGGTGAGCCAGGCAAACAGCCACACGAAGCTACTGAGAAATTGACGTTATTTTAGGCATTGTCAAGTTCAAAGAGTTCCTGGTATCAATAGGACAGACAGAAAATGACCATGATAAAGTGCAGAAATTGCGCGTCCTCAAGTCTTATTGCGACAAGCAAATCAGTACCCCCGCAAAAGAGGATGAGACTGCAGTCTGCTTCCCAGACCTCATTGCGTCGTGGGCCTTTGGCGATGGCAACAACAATGAACCCCTGTTGACGAACGTCCCTTCCGTTCTTGCTATCTTCCTCAAGACTATCTCTTCAGAGTTGGAATTCCGGGATTTCGGAATCGCCCTGTGCAAGCATCTGCTGCAGAAAGATCAACTGAGGTTGTTTAACCGCGGTCTTACAGCAACCAAGTCTAAGGAGCACCTTATCTCGCCGTGTCTTCGTCTGCTCACTGAAATCGTGACTTTCGATGGAGGAGCAGTGGCGCGACAGCTGTACCTTCGCCGTTACATTACTTTCAAGCGGTTGGAGGTCTTCTTAACTCCCAACAAAGCACAGGAGACCGAGGATGAGTCTCACAAGTCAACTCTCAGACGCAATGCTCAGCGATATCTGCTTGCGAACCTGAGGGTGCAGCATGCTTCCGAGAAGGGCGATATCATTGAACAGCACAAGATCACTCGGTCTTTCCTTGAGCATATTCGGAAGGATCCTCGTGATACTGTGATGGAGATCATCAAGGCCATTGAAAGGGATGTGGTGCAAGACGCTGGTCTGTCCCGGAAGTCGAAGAGCAAGTTCTTCAACCGCAATAACCTTGAACGACTGGTTACTCTCTACGGTTATGACCGTGAATCTGATGAGCCCAATCCCGATGGAGTTTCCATTGCCAATGAGATTCACCGCATTATGATGAACATCTGCAAGACTGCCGGACTTGGTGTGCTTTTGCCAGAGACAGGCTGGTACCCGGTTGGAACTGATCCAGAAACTCTGCCTGCCGATGATGATGCATGCATTGAATTGGGGCTTGATTCTCCGATCTATGTGGATAAGTACAGAGAGTCTGTCCCCGTGCGGAACGGCTCTCTTTCTTTCCTCATCCAGTGTCTTCGCCCTGATGTGGATAGTCTCCAGATTGAATTGCTGGTCACGATCTTCAAGGTGGCACCAGAACTCGTCGCCGATTTCTTCACCAGAAAGACTATGTTCATTTCGGACCCGAAAGCTACGCCTTCATGGATGGCAGAATCTGCTTTCCTCTTCTCAACTGTTCAATTGCCTGTTCCGGCCAACTGTGGTTGGAAGGACAAGCAGCCTATCCTACCCCCGCCAGTGTCAATTGCCATTGAAAACATCCTCCCTCGTCCTCTCAGTCAAAAGATCATGACCCGCTGTCTGAACCAGAACGCCGAAATCATTACTCTATTCGCCGTCCGGATTCTGACTCTCGCTTTCACTAAGCTTCGGGCAGTTTTAAAACTATTCCAGGGAGAACATGGGCAGGGTCAGCTGTTCTGGAACCAGGCTTCTTCCAAGTTGCTCGCGGAGTTTTCTCGTCGCTGTCCCTCTATCAAGGATGTTGTTCTTCTCTTCCGACGAACTGACAAGGAGGACTTGCAGCAACAGGAAGCTGTTGCAGAGCTTCTCACATGCTATTACGAAGTGATGCCCGACATCGCTTTGGAGGAGAACTTTGATGTTTCTCTAGTTTTGGTGGATGTATTGAAGCGATTGGAAGACGAGGACGTCGGCGCAGATGATTCCGAGTCTCTTTTAAGTCAACTGCAAAGCCTTCTTCAGATCGCCCAACAATCTGCTTCACTGCGTTGGTGGCAAAAGCCTACCAACATGCAGTATTCACCCTTCACTTCGATTTTGAAGGTCCTTATGGATACCGCGGATAAAGACTCTTCACGACGCATCTCTACCTTGCTTAAAACTGTTCTGGTTGAAAATTCCATCTTGCAAAGTTCACCACATGCATTCGCGTCTGTCTTGACAAGCCTCGAGAACTCGGAGCCTGAGGCTCTGCATCATCAATTGGTCTTCTTTGACAACTGTGTTTCTCGTGTTGCTAAGAAACCTGTGCACTACATTGACATGCTTGACTCTCTTTCCAAGGATGAGTCTGGAACTGCCAGCGCTCTTGTGGCTGTCATTGTTGAACAATGGCCGTTCGTTGTCAAGAGCGGTGATGAATCAACTGAAGCTGCCGTTGGATCATGGATTGCAAGCCTCCTGGGCAACCTCAAGCATGCCGGCGAAAGCACCAATGTGCTCAAGGCTGCTCGGGATGCATTGGTTGAATCTACCGAGACCAAGAAGGTTAAGTCGCTTCTGAAGAAGTCCTTGAAGGGTACAGAGGATGTAGTCACGGACGATAAGATGGATATTGACTCTGGCTCCAATGTGCCGTCATCCAAAAAGACCCCTACTGTCGACCTCGACGAGATCTTCGGATTCCTGCCCACCGAAGGCACCACTCACAATGCTCTGCACAAGTGGGAAAGAGAAGAAGTTGAGCAAGCAGTGGAACAAGGTCGCATTGCCGAGTTGATTCTCTGCCTGTGTTCTCAGCACGAAGAAGTCCGGAGACAAGCTTTTGCCAACCTTGTGCGCTTCATGGCGAAGCTCAAGGAATCTAAATACGCAGAATGGCGCACGGTCTACACCCTGACTGGAGAGCTCCTTGAGACAGTCAACACGATTGGCATGGATAAGCCCGTTCCTTGGATCGTTGGTGAATGTGCTGCAAACTGCCTTGCGGTTCTCACAAATCCGCTCCATAAAGTCTACGGCAAAGTCAACAAGTTCCTGCAGAAAGCACCATTCTGGGAAGTCGAGAAGATCCCCACATACTGGGTTGACAAGATCCTTCTCCACGAGCCTGAATTGGATGACGGCTATTTCGATGAGATCGACTGGCTGCTCGGCCTATTTGTCAAGGCGCTCCGCACCGAGGCTGTAAGTCAACTAATAATGTGCCCCCAGACTTTATAAAAGAAACACCAGCTAACACATGGAATATAGGATATGGAAGTCTACAGACGTGCAAATGTCTTTGAACGAATTCTCTCCCTTTACCAGTCCCCCACCCTCAGCCCAGCAGCTCGACGCAAGATCCTACACATTGTCTACCGTGCCGCCCAAGTCGGCGGTAGCACTACCCTGATCACCCGCTCTGGTATCATCAGCTGGATCCAGATCCAAGTTGCCGAAGCCAATGCGAAGGAGGCTGCCCAACTCTCGGCCCTTGCAAAATCTCTGTATGGGACTTGTGATCGGGAGCGTGTGGACGGCTGGAGTAATGGAACTCTTGGACGTGTCATTGATGAAATTCAGGGACAGGCATAAATGTTGGACGTCTTGTACATTAATAGATTGTTTGCATTAGCACAATAGGGACTTTCAGCGTTTGACTTTCATGCATGTATCTGTAGTATTGATTTGAGGTTATATTTCGTTGTCGTCATACATCATCAAGCTAGGAATTCTAATAGAAACAGAAGCAGGCCGTGGATGCTGATTTAGTCACCAGACAAGAGAAAGATACGTCAAATTATTAGAAAAGCAAGGCATACATGTAGCTGTAGCCTAGGTACGACTCATATCGATACACAGCTGAAAAGTGCAACTGGTGGGTTTCGCCTTTTGGCGTATCACACCAAAATCGCACGCTGGACACCTCTGCTCTACTTACCCCTCGAATACACAATCACAGCCCAACAAATCCCAACTTCGCCTGAAACGCTCCAATCTGACCGCAAATAAGCTCAAGTGAAGGTTGTTTGACAGTGCGAGGTTCACACCCGAGCTCCGCCTTAAAAGACACCGCCATCGCCACAAGGTGGCTTGTGGGCTTCTCCTCATCCAACCTCTTTTCCCAGATACAACCATCTACGCTGCCCTGCTCCCATTCACATCCTCCTAATCCTTTGGTTACCTCGGAACTACCTCATCTCTTGCTACGGATTCTTATTTTTCTCAAGCCAATGAACGTATCATAATCGTGAAGAAAGCCCACACGCACACCGTCCAAGACAGAGCCGTCATGGCGCGACGGTATGAGATCGCCGAGCTGTTATGGCTGCGAGAATCTCCCCTCGTCGCAAAGCCCTCCGGCCTGCCTCCGATTGAAGAATGGATGTATGTGGCCGCCGCTCTCAATTCCTCAGCTTGTCCCGCACTGTCCACATAAGACTGACCGCACCATCTAGGCCCCAACCAGACCCAACAACGCAGCGCAAGCAACAAACCCCTCGTGACCCTAACAACCCAAATGAAACTGGCACGGGCCGACGGCCCAGCTTCTTCGAA